CTAGGTCAGCCACGTACTAGCTCTTCTTAATGGGCTGACAAAGACGATGCCGACATCTGCTGGCAACTTGATCTCCTTTACACGGCAGTGCTATGAATACCTTTTCTTTGGAACATCTGTTGATGGTTTATCTTTTCGGCTGTAAGTTCGCGTATCGTGCAACAGAACGCTCGGGATATTCCTTATTTTGCCCTGTCGAGGAGATGCTTTCTAGTTCACATTCGATAGTCTCCGGAGAGCAAATTTCTCGAGCCCTAGCAAAAGCCGTACAGGCTAAAGTTCGCTTGCAGTTCATAGGGCCGAAGCCATGGAAGTTCAGGTACCGTCCCGTTCATGTTAGTTTTGCGTACACAGACCGAACGAGTGTACCGTCTAGGTTTCTCTCTAGGTTAGCATCCAGGAAATGGAAGGATCTATCATATACATGCAATACATGTTCGCAAATGGTTCTAAACTACCCACTAGCTCTATTGCACACTAAGTACTTGATTACCCTGTGTGCGAAAACCCACGTCGTGGGTTTAAGATAAGCAACAAACCAAGCAGTCCCCGGTTACTTCAGTTCGCTGGGGTCTGGGTGACTGGGCGGTTGAAACCAAGTTTATGCAGACAAACGGAATTCGTTACTAGCCTCGCCCTACCCTAGTGAGGCTAGTGTCATCTTTTCTTTGACCGAGAGTCGAGTGAAGTAACAAAATTCAACCGCTTTAAACTTTGCACAGGTAAGATTACATTTTGGTTGCCTTTATTATGTAAGATCTCTTTTCCACAAATTCTTTGTAAACAGCTGAGTATATATATATATATATATATATATATATATATATATATATATATATATATATATATATATATATATATATAATCAGCTGTCTATAAGATAGACATAGAGCCAGCGAAAACCATAAAACGGAACTAATAAATACAGAGACAACGAGGAGAATGAAGGTTGAAAACAAATATTTTTTGTACTGTCTTTAATTTTTGTTTTTTTTCACACCCCGTTTTATTTATATTTTTGTCTGTTTAATGGTTGCGATGTAAATCAAGCCAATCAAGACAAACCTTTGAACACATTTGCTATTGAGCCCGGTTCTGGGCCATCTCTGAAAGAGTTTCCAGCCAGCGGTGTTCTTCATCTTTGATCCCCCAGCCCGGAAGCCGCACGGAATCTACGACGGCCAAACTGAAAGTCAGCGTTTTAGTCGTTTGTCGCCAAGTGATAGGCTGACTCCCACGCGATTTCTTCCAGCCTGGTCCTATGCAAGCGAAGAGAGTGCGTCGGGGCAGCCGTTCGCATGGCATGCGTAAACCGTGGCCAAGCCACCTCAGTTGGCGCAGTGGTACCAATCTGTCAAAGTGGAAGTCCCGTGTTACCCAAGACGTGATGTCTAACATCATGGTTGCGTATGTGATACATCCACCACACTCGAGCTATTCTCCGCAGACATCCATTGTCAAAGACCAAAATCCGACGCAAGTCATTCACACGAATCGGTTAGTACTCACTCCCATACAGCAGCATTGCGTGAATACAAATATTGTAGACCCTGCCCTTTACCAATAGTGAAACTTCGCGGCGCCGCCACAGATGCCTCAAGTTGTCGAATGCCGAACGGACATTGGCACTGCGGAGGGAAGTCTCTTTTCCAATGCTACCATCAGCAGAGACACCGCTTCCCAGGTACACAAAGTTGTCCACTTGTTCAAGCTGCGTATCATGAAGAGTGAGCACTGGAGCAGGTGGAAGCCAATGCAGGACCAGGAAGTCTCATTTGGTAGGGGCAAAGGTCTTTCCATATTTTGATGCTCCAGTCGTCAGGCGGTTTAGAACGGATTGTGTGCTCTGTGCGTCAACATCAAGCAAGGCAATATCATCAGCATAATCTAAATCGGTCACGCGGTTTCCAGGAAGAAGCTACACACCAAAGCCCTGAAATCCCTCGAGACGATTTAAAAGGACCTCCTCGATCGCCAAATTGAATAGAAACGGGGACATGGAGCAATCCTGTCGTGCACCGCTAGTGACGGCAAAAGGTAAAGAGAGCTTACCATAAGCCCTCACTTTACCTGAGACATTGCAATATAACGCTCGGAGGATAGCGACATACTTTTCGGGTATTCCATTCTTTTGTAAAGCTGGCCGATCAACGGTGTCGAAAGCGGCACGGATGGCCAGAAAAGCAACGATAGTGGGCTGACGGTAAAGATGACGCGTTCCAAGGAGCTGGCGGAGCGTAAACAAGTGGTCTATACACCCTCGACCGGGACGGATACTAGCCTATTCTTCACGGGAGTGCAGTTCTCGAATCGGGGTTAGTAAGCGGAGTAGATTGGATGTTAACAGCTTGGTGGCAACGGACATTAGACTGATTTCTTGGTGGTTAGCGCATTGGGTACGGGCAACTTTATTGATGATCGGGACGATAATTGACTCGCTCCAAGCAGATGGAACTTTTTCTTCACACCAGATCTTAGAGAACAAGCCTGTTAACTGGTTGACAAGTGTTTCGCCCCCGAACTTGTACAGTGGAGGAAGTCCGTCTGGGCCAGCAGACTAGAATCGCTTCAAGTGTCGGAGCACAAAGCAGACCTCAGCTTCAGCGGTGGTTCCAATGAGACATTCCAAGTCGCGCAAGTAGGTATACGAAATAGGCTCGCCGGCGGGGGAGGCCAGCTGAATTGAGAGCGGAAGTGTTCAGCCCAACGGTCCATACGCCTGTGTAAGTTGCTTATCTGCGTTCCGTCAACATTGCAAATGACCTCACTGACACCAGGTCTTTTGGGATCAGTGGCCCGAATGATCTGGAAGAGTTTGCGGAAATTTCCAGAGAGGGCTGCCATTTCCACCTCTGAGGCGCGCTGGGACCACCAAGTTTAGCGAGCCGTACGCAGGCTTTGCTGAGTAGAAGACGCGAAATTACTGGATTCAGTATATTGTGTTAAAATGTTGTTTCTTCTTGCTGTGTTCAAATTCGTGAAGGAATATGCTTGTATGAAGTAGCAATATGTTTTATTCAATGGAATACATCGTCAACATATCTAATAAAAGTAGTGGACCGGGTACACCCGTCGTATTTCTTCACTGGATAATGTTTTCGGTTTGGAGAAATGGCAAAGGATGCGCACCGCCCACCGTCTACCAACTAGATATGAAGACAGCCAAGAAAATATTGACTCTCCATTGCCTATGGATTCTAAGTTATCTAGTAACCTCCAAGGAGGCAATTTGTCAAAAGCGTTTGCATATCCATGAACAAGCTTACAACCCTGTTTCCGATGTCTTTGGCAAGCATTGTGGTTTAATAAGTCTGTCCGGCATGTTGTGCAGGATCGACCTTGCATAAAACCATACTGCGGCTTGCCAATGAGTCTGGCCTTGTTCAAGAAAATATGTAGTTGATCTTGCACTATTCTTTTCATTATCCTAGCTAGATGGGTGTGTAACTGTTGTGACGAAATTTTCCAACCTCGTAAATGGCTCAATTTTTGAATCACGGAATAAAAACAGAACCTCCAGTGAGTAGGATATATTTCGTTGCTTAGACTGTGTAAAAATGTTGAGCAAAAGCAGAGGCAAATCGCTAAGACCATTTTTTATTGGAGATAGAGGATGCAATCAGGCCTTGCGTAAGTCAAGGTGCATAAACGAGAGACCTGATCAGTGATTTTCGGAACAGTGAATTCCACTGTGCGCAGACAATCACTGACGTATGGCATGATAAGCGCACGTGTATCTAATGATTGATTAACCATCGATTCGTCAAAAAAGGCGCTGAAAGTCTCACAGCTATCACTTGGTGCATTGTTTTTCGTCAACGTATTTATAAAATTCAAAGGGTTATTGAGACGCGAACCCCAGGCACAATACCGTTTAGATACTTAAGTTGTTTTGCTTGGGAAGTTCAGAGCTTATTAATCTTTGAGAATGAGAGTATTGTCATTTTAATGCTTCGGTTCTTCGATGATGTTTGGCTTCTGGGATAATAGCGCAAATTCAGCATTCATTTCCGCTGAATTTTATAAAGGTTGTGTACTGTCTTTAACGGTGTGATGTTGGTTATGTTTAGTTTGGTAGGCACATTTTAGCGGCACTACTGAATCGACGCAGAAGCTAATTAGACTATAAACTGGTCCGCTGCTCGTTTGGGACATGAAGAGAGAAAGAAGTTATCCAGTGTGGAGTAGTTAAACTTCTCAAGCGATTGTAAAACAGATCGTAATTAGTTGATTGAAAGCATGCTGAACAGAATTTTCATGGTTGATTAGTGTGTGTATTCGGTAAAACAGTTTCCAGTTATTTGCATGATACATGCGTTCTTCGATCAGTGTAGAGGCCATGTAATTTTTATGAGCACACCCAACCCATTCACACTGTCTCGAAGTAGGTAGAGTGCTTGCATTTACCAGGTGGACCCGATCTGCAGACAGGTGAGATACTGGGTACATCAACAAAGAATAGTATGAACTGCTTAGCCAAGGATGGCTTTACTACCAGGCTAGGATTTCGTGTTGCAGAACGATAAAAGAGTCCATCACCTAACGGTGGACTATAGGTGCACGCGTTAGGGGATCGTACGATTTCCAGTGTCAGATAAGTATGCATAGATAAAACACCTGTTAACGTAACGAAACTATATCACTTACAGATATTAGTTGTAGCAAAAAAGCTTGTTAAAAAGCTCAATTTTTGCTTCTGAACTCAACAACTCAGCAAATGGTTTTAGAAAACAAACTACCGGCTCTAATGTTTGCTAGATCCTTAAAGGTTACAGTGTGTTGTATCGCGTCAGAGACCTAATGAAAAGGCAGTGCTGTGAACAAGCGCGTAACGAAAGAAATTATTCACCATCAGAGAGCTAACGCGTGTTATTTCTTCAGTTTTCTGTAATGAAGTAAAACTTGATAATGAAGGTGCGAAAGTACGAAAGTGCGAGGGCGCAAAGCCAGTAACATATTTCTAAGCACCAACGTAATTGCATCAAAGTTTCAAGCCTCACTTTCTGATTCGCATACTGATCGGTGATGAACTTCCAATGAATTGCATCGTCGCTGTAGGAGAGCATAAAGGAAGTGACCCACTCGGAACTATCTCCTCGACCTTGAGTCATGATCCCTGTCACCTAAACGAAATGGGGCGAAAGGGCACAGGATTAACACCATCATCATCGTCCTTATACACGTTAGCTGGAGGTGGCAAACACCTCAGCTACCGTGGGGCAATAAATAAAAAAGAAGAAATGCCACTGTTGCATGCCAACTGAGCTACCAGCAGCGGATGGGGATCGTTCTGGAAAGCTACTAGTTGGCTAGTAGACAACAACAGAATTATTGTGCAAAAGTATATTATGATAAGAAATGAGATCATGGCTGAAGGAGGAGGAGGCTAAGAAGAATGGGAAGGGACAAAGAAACTCACAGCAGGAACGCCGGAGGTCGGCTACTAGCCATGTCAGCGTGTATCCAGACAAACGTGTTCATCGTGTCCTGGAACCCAACCAGGGAGCCCTGACACTTCATCCGAGGCCAGCTACGTAGTGAGGGCCTTCATTCCTCTCGAGCAAGTCATCAATTTGCCTCCTCCTTTTTTCCATCAACACCCACGACGAGCAAACAACGCGTGTCGCGGTAGTTGGTGGGCTGGCATGTGTACCACGTGGCCCATCCATCGGAGCCTGTTGCGTGAAATAACGGTGCTGAGCTGTTCAGTCCCTCTTCCTGTGCCGTAACGAAGATATCGAACATGCTCATTGCTTACTCGGTGTTCTCACCAGGTGTGAGCCAAATTACGCAGGCACCGATGGTCGAATGTAACTAGCCTCTTTATGTGCACTGATCTAAGGGGTCAGGTTTTGCAACCGTACAGTAAGGTTGAAGGTACCGCACCATTACACTGCACGCTTCAGGGCGAGATTGATGTCGCTCCTAAACATATTACTAGATGAAACCTAGTTAGATGCGTCATTTGATATCAGATACGACATGTCTATGGCATCGTTAATATCTAAGACTTTCACCTGGTGTTTTTTAACTGTCAGTTCATTTCAAGCTACGTGTGTTTAACCAGTATCAAGTTTCGGTTGTCAACATCTATGGTTTAAGTGAACAGAAGAGCATCTTCTTTACACATATAAACCCACAGTTCTAACCACGAATACCATTAAATGCATAATGCGGTGCATAACAAACGGCAGCAAGGGTTCAAATGATAGACTAGAAAGTTCGGTTACTCCAATCAGATATTCTGGAATGCTTAATAAATGAATGTACTGCGATTAATCCGGAGACGTTCTGATTACCATATGTAATGCGCCAAGCGACATCCTGCAACTTATTTTAACTCCACGAATAAACAATAATTAACTGAGCGTCACTCGTGCTAAACAAGCGCAAAAGCTATTCACAGTGTATTTACCATCAGCGTGCAAAAAATCGATCTTATCTCACACCATAGTTATTCAGTGATCCACAAATTCAATTGTACAAGTACCTTAATTATTTGAGCTTGGACGCGTTGCAGCTCACCTCAGCTGATGCAAGCCGCAAGCGGAAGTTACTTGAAGGTGCTCGAACGGAACTTGTGACGAGGATGCTTTCGCGCTGTGACATTAAAACACGTGCTCAGATAGGCCGCAGACAGCCAAATTGCCCTACATCACCGCATTTCTGATATGATAGTGACAGTTTCATTGCGTCTTGATATCAGTGTTGACCGCAAACAAACGAAAATAACTCGAAACAACCTCAACCGAGTAAAAGACGAAATTCGCATGAACTAAATACATATTATGGGTGACGATAGTTACTGCAAAACTTCAACACATGGGAAAGTGATAGAAAGTTTGGCCAAGGACTACATGAACGCAATCCAGTCAAACGTCCTCTTGAGCAGAATACAACGATGTCGGTGCATACGGATATTGGAAACTATCAAGTCAAACTTAAGGACGTAAAAATAATCAGAAGGGTAAAAGCGGCAGCCACGTAAATGCATCGAGTCGTGGAATTCAAAGCATTACTGTGTAGATACATGCTTGGGTCTGGAGGTAGCCTACCAAACGCTTTGACGGGGTCTGTAAATCCGGCCTCTATTGGCATCATTATACTATAATTCTACACTACTCTCTGCGGATTCTTTTGTTTACATAACTTATTATACTCTTTGATTAAGTGAATCAATGTTCTACTTGGTTGAAGTTTTGATATACGGACGAATACCACAGCAGACAATCTGCGAAAATCACCTCTAGTTGACTACGCCTGCAAGACTAGAAACACTTTCAAAGGGATTATCAAGAAAGGCTTAGGAAAAAGGAAAAGCATTATGCTGCTTGGCAAGCAGGACTCAAGTGCTGTCCCGTTAACCAGACGTAAATTCCGCTGATCCTGCATGACCAGCAGAATAGCTGGACATGTCCAGCAATATACGATCACTTCTCAGTAAAACAGATGATCTCGCAAAACATTATGCAGCGAAGAGAATTTATGAATGGAGGTATAGCAATGAACAATGATTTTATACGAGTTAAGATGCGTTGTTTTACAACCTTTTTGGGTGGTCTGTTGGGTTAGCGAAAAACGTTTATGAAAAAGGTAGTTAATTGTTTACTGTCAAAATAATAGACATCGTTTTTGATTCAGTAGCCCTGCACAAAAACATTTACATAGCTTTAATAGGCGAACAAAGTAAATCCAATTTATTTTCCGAGAGTAGGATGGACAGTAGCGTCAAGTAACAAAATGTAAGTGACGGAGTGCTTCATTCAACCGACATTTAAATATAGCTAGTTTGGGTGTTGTAACAACAGATTCGGGGTGGGGCATTCCACGGTTGACACACAAATGAATGAAAAAGAAATTTCTACGGCACGTCAGACGGCTGTACTGTTTTGCCAATTTCAAGGAGTGGCCTCTAATTTTTGCGTTACTGCTGAGTTGCAGTAAAGAGCGGGACAAATGAACTGGATTGTGTAAAATCGATTACGACATAAGTAAGTCGCATCGTAGTCGGCGATACCGTCCGCTGAATACTTCCAAACGTTTCAGTCTCTGCTTGTGTGGAAGGTGGCGCATTCTAATGGCGTAATTAGAAGCCCGACGTTGAGGTTGGTCCAGTTCAATAAGGTCGTGCTTCAGCCATGGCTGGCAGGCTTGGATTGCGTATTCTATATGGGGACGAACATACGCATTCAGTGTCTGTCTGAAAATAGTGGTGTTGTAGGAAAGTTGGTTACATTCTTAACTTGATGAACATGTCGTTAATCTCAGTGGTTCCCACCACCTTGAATTCGACCGCCCAGGAAACCACCGAAATCGTAGAGTAGATCCCATCGCTTAGATTAACAAAGATTGGGGTTAATCCGTTTAAAAACTCCCGGACAACTCAACACCTTCAGTAAACTGCTACCCATCGTAGTGTGCACTAAGGTTTTGATCGGTTTCGGAACGTGTACCTAGCTTCGAACACGATGCTGTTCGAGTTACAAAAGTTTGCAGACCACCTTGCCATGGAGTTGTAACCAAACAGATTGTTCCATCTGTGTTCGCACCGGCGACTTCAATAGGAGTGACAGCACTTTCACTAACACTATGGATTTAGCCAGGCTTATTAAATTTATCATCAGATTCAAGGCGGATCTAGATTTACATTTTTTGCTGACAAATTAGAACTATTTTCTACAGGAATGCGTGTACCTATTGGTAATTTCGACCATTGCATAGTAAAGATGTGTCCGACGTTAAACACCAAGGCCAACTCAGTTGTGCTGACATTTAAACCATTTAGAACTGTTAAATGAGACTACTGCTCAGAAGATAAATGGAAACACGCAACAACTTTGTTTAACGGTTTTCCAATGTCATAAATAAAGACTTGTCATTTCAGTGTAAGTACCTCACAGACTTAAATAGACTTAGTTTTGATCTCTGTTGTCCCATTGCGAGAAAAGTTTTCGCGAAATGACAGATTTTCACCGCCGGTCCTCAAGCAACTGCGGGTGAAAAAAGAATAGGCTTATAAACACAAGCTTCCTGCCCGTGTCAAAGGTCTCTAGTTGGTTATCAAAACTGAAATAAGAAGTTTAAACACTGTACTATCAGATCGTTTTAGGCAACTAGTTACCTTGACCTCAGGAGGCTTCTAGGGTGACTATTCGGAAAGAATTCCTTCAGAACACTCATCGCCTAGGATGTAGATAAGCTCAACGCTGAGTTCAGCTCCTCATCAATTAACACACTCCCTCTGCCTTTTTCATACCACCACTCAGCCTCCCACATTAGTTTATTCCACAAATGTTTATAACGAGCTCACACTAATAAAGTCAAACAAGGCTACTGGACCACATGCTTCATCAGGAGTCGCACTGAAAGAATGTGCACAGGTTTTAACGACACTACCGACGGAGATCGCGAATCGGTGTTTAACGACATTTTGAAATCAGCCCGAATAACACCAGTGCCTAGAAAAGGATCTGGGAAATGTCGGCCAAATGTGTACCTCCATGCTGGTGAAGGCATGGGAAAAGCTACTGATCTCCCGCATTTTCACAGGCAATCATACCGATGCTGTCAACAGTTTGCTGTTTTTATCTTGTACATTCCATTGCGTTTGCATTGATTGTTAGACGCAGGAAGGTACGGCACCCATTTCGTGATTACACCAACGCCATTGGGAGCTCCGACAGATCAGTACTGCTCGACATTTTGTCAGAAAATGGCGTCCTCCTATATGTGTGTAGTGTGATGTATGATTACGAACCGCACTCACTTCACGTAGCTATGCGACAGAAAATGCTCTGTAATCCCAGCCAATTGTGGTGTTTTCAGGGAGCTATCCTATCTTACTTTCTATTTTCCGCTTAGGCTGGAAGTCTCCCTATTCCATCAGACTTCAAAGATTGTAACTATTCTGATGCCGTCGTCCTGGATTACATAACCTCATTCATCGACAGCTCTTTGAAACGCCAAGGAGGGTTAGACGAACCATCAACATGGTCGAGCACCCTGCCCCTCTCACAACCGTTTCAAAAGTTATGACATAAGGTTCTGTTTTCTACATCCCAACAAACCGCAACTCCTTGTACCTATCTCACCTCTCATGATGGTGGATGACCGAAGCATACGC